CAGCCAGGGATTAGGTTGTCCGAGGGGAGGTGAGATTACAGGCAGACTTAACTGCACACAGGTTACATGTTAACCCATGAAGTGATTCAGAAAAAACATGAAAGTGTAAGAAAAAACAAGAGTTTTGGTTCTGGTGGCACGCGGGTATCAGGTAAAAGCTGAGATCTGCAGCACATAGCAGCTTTATTGTGCTTTGGACTGCAGCGTATCACACCATATTAAATCTCACGCCATGTCCTCCTCTGACCCCGTCATCTGGAATAAAGCCCTGACCTCTGTGTGTCAGCAGCAGCACAGGTGTGACTCAGCACCTGGTGGGGACAAGCAACCAGCTGGCAGATGTCTGGTGCTCCTGGTCAAAAATGACTGATCCAATCCATCTGAATAAAACTGTCCATCCATCTGTTCTCCACCACTTACCTAAGGTTGGATCACGGAGGTAACTCCAGACATCCATCTTCCTGGGAACTCTCCAGTTCTTCCTGGGGAATCCCAAAGTGTTCCCGGGATATCTTCCTGCAGGTTCTGCCCCGGATTCTCTAAACTTCCTACGGAAGGTGACCAGGAGACCTCCTAGTCAGATGGATTTTCACTGCTGCTCCCTCGACATCTCAGCAACTGAAGCAGCATCCTTATTACTGCAGATCAAGGCCTGATCCATGAGTCCATCTCTTGTTCCGTCTGACCATCAATCACAAACAAGACAAATATGTGGTTGAACCTTAAAGCTCCAATAACAAATTTGGAAAACAAATTTTAAAGATAAAAATACCCCGAAAATGATTAATAATGTGGTTCTCTCACATTTGTCTTAAACCTCCACCAATGACATGTTTAAGGCTGAAACCAACCACTGGACCATCCGGTCGTCGCTCTCGCTGAACCGCCGCACTTCCCTGGGTCCTCCACTCATCACGCACTCACGTATTCAGCACCAGAACACCACTAGTGTGAGAGGTTCTCCGCTCATGATGCCAGAGAAGGAGAATCAGCCGGCTGCTACCACTTCAGCTTCAGGACAAGCTACCAGAGTCCCAAAGAGAAAATCACCATCTGAAGTCTGAAGCAAGGCAGCAACTGTTTTCAGTGGGGATGGGGGGCTGCTGGTGTCGACTGTGGCTATAGTTGGGTGGTGGAAGGAATACTTTGAGGAGCTCCTCAATCCCACCGACACGCATTCCGAGGAACCAGAGTTGGGAGGCCTGGGATGGACTGTCAGATCTCTGGGGCAGAAGTTGATGAGGTAGTCAACCAACTACACAGCAGCTGAGCTCCATAGGTGGGTGGGATATGTCCTGGGTATCTCGACGTTATGAATGTTGTAGGACGGTCATGGTTGACACGCCTCCGTAACATTGTATGGTCATTGGGGGCAGTTCCTGTGGACTGGCACACCAGGGTGGCGGTCACCATCTTCAAGAAGGGGGACCAGTGGGTGTGCTCCAACTATAGGGGGGCCACACTCCTCAGCCTCCCTGGAAAAGTCTACTCCAAGGTACTGGAGAGGAGGGTCTGATCGATAGTTGAATCACAAATAGAGGAGGAGCAGTGTGAGTTTCGTCCTGGCCGTGGACCTGCGGACCAGCTCTTTACCCTTGCCATAGTGATGAGTGGGGGTGTGGGCGTTTGCACAACCCATCCACTTGTGTTTTGTGGATTTGGAGAAGGCTTGGCTCTGGCCCGGGAACACCTTGGGGTCCTGTTGGAGGAGCTGGTGGAGGTGGCCGGGGAGAGCGCTGTCTGGGATGCCCTACTTGAGATGCTACCCCTGCAACCCGGACTCAGACAAGCGGAGGAAAACAAACGAACGATTGAATGAACCATTTGAAGTCACAGAAAACTAAAGATGTTTGGACATAGAAAAACAGCAACTGGTGTTTAGCGCTAACTCGTTTCCTCTGACACTGCGGGTCTCCAGCTCCAGCAGAAGCGTCTCAGAGAAGATACTCGAGGGCGGGGGTAAGTGTTCCGTGACCGTGTTTACGTTTAAAGCCTAGCTTGTTCGGTAGATTTGCTAGAAGAGCTTTTATCCCAACCTTGTCCTTCCTTAGTCGTGGCCTCAGAACAGAAGCTGATCCTCATCCTGGCTGCTTCACCACCAGAATTCTGCATCCCAACCGAACTGAGACCCTCAGGTTCTGATCCGCTCTTCTCTCCACAGCCACCTTCAGGTAGGGGGTGAGCAGCTCTGAGAGGTATAAGGGGGCTAGACCATTCAGGGCTTTGTAAGTAAAAGTTAGAACTTTGTGTTGAATTTGAAATTGCACAGGAATCCAGTGTAGATCCGCCAGAATGGGAGTGATGTGACAGCTTTTATTTGCATTGGAGAGATATCTGGCTGCAGTATTCTGGACTTTCTGCAGATGATTTAGGACAGATACATTTACACCAAGTAGAACCGAGTTGGAAAAATCGAGTCTGGAAGTGATAAATGCATGAATCACTGATTCTAAGTGTGGCCTCTTAAGAATGGGCTTTAGTCGGGCAAGGCGACGAAGCTGGAACTAGCAGGATCGAACAGTGGCATTAACATGTGCACTCATTGACAAGTCAACATCCAGTTTAACCCCAAGGCTGGTCACACATGAATTAAGGTTTAGGGGGAGAGATCAAAGGCAGCAGAAGTATGCAGGTTATGTTTTGGTTTGAATAGAATGGCCTCAGTCTTATTGTCATTGAACTTCAGGAAATTGGAAGCTAGCCAGGTTTTAATTTCTGAGAGACATTCTGAGAGCTGGGTAATGGAACTTAGTTGATTTAAAGCCATATAAATTTGACAGTCATCGGCGTATATGTGATGATGTAGGCCGTGTTTAGCAATGATATTTCCCAGTGGCAACATATAAATAGAAAAGAGGAGTGGACCTAGAATAGAGCCCTGGGGAACTCCCCAGGGGAGTGGGATAAAAGGAGAAGAGCAATCGCCTATGTGGATGCTGAAGCTCCTGTCAGACAGATAGGAGTGAAACCAATTTAGCGCAGTCCCTGTGACTCCAACAAAAGATTTCAGCCTAGTTAACAGAATGTTATGGTCAACTGTATCGAATGCTGCTGATAGGTCTAGCAGTAGTAACGGAACAAAGGAACCAGCATCAGTTTCTGTCAGAATGTCATTTAACACACGAATATGTGCAGACTCGGTGCTATGATTTGGCCTAAAAGCAGACTGAAAATGATCGACTAGTGAATGTTCCAGTAAATGATGTGAGAGTTGAGCATGTAAAGGTAAATAAAACACCCAGAGCGTAATAAAAATGACCAGATTTACATATTTCTCTGTTTAGATGTCATGCTTCTTCTTCCGGCTCTTGGAGAGTACAGACGTTTTTTTCCTCCTCTCCTCCCTATTGTATCCCCAAGGCTCTTTGTCTGTCTCTGGGTGTACGGTGCTTCTGCATTTTTTCTGGAAACTGAAATTATTCAAATGGCCCTGGTCAGCTGGTCTCTCAACGCTATTGACAATTTTTTTTCTACGAAGAGATCGGGAGAAGGGGCTCCTGGTTGGCCCTCTGGGACAGATCCAGTTGGGCACATCATGGACTCCTGGAAACAGTGGAACCTGATTTGCTTATTTCAGCTGTCTGTAGAGGATTCTGAAGACGTCTGGATATACGTGGTGTTGGTGTCAGGCTTCCTGCTTTTTGGCCTGGGAGGTTACCTGGCTTACCGGAAAATTAACGAGCTGTCGAGGAATATTGGCTCTTTCCCGAAGCTCAGGGATAAATTGCACCGCGCTGTGAACGCACAGACTCATGTAATTGTCGAGATGAGTCGTAAGCTTGGAACTTTGGCTGAGATTCATGCATTGGCACAAAAGATGGATGCGATCAAGGAGCGAATGGACGAGTCAGCACGGATTGGGATAGATTAATGTACGCCATTATTGGATTTTGAGAGGTTGAGGACCAGCGGAACTTCAAGACAGAGAAGAAATGATCTCTGTCTGGCCCCAAAACAAGTTCTTACCTGAATCTGGTGCCCTTGAGCCTGTAAGGCTGAAACGACCCCCCCGAAGAAATGTGGAATGCTGCTGTCGCCATGGCAACTCTGTCTCGCTATCCCAGCCTGGGCGGGACTGCGAGCTGTGAAGGCCGCTGAATTGTTCCAGGGTCACTGTGCCCTCTAAACCCAACGACCTACTCCACTGTCCAGACTGAGGTGACGAGCGCTGCTTATCGCGGCTGCATGCACTGACGTGTGGAGAGTCCCAAACCCCCACCTAGTGGACACTTGTGTTGTGTAATGTCTGAAGTCTGTTGCATTTCTGTCTGAGGTGTTTTTGCGTAGCAAAGCTGCCCTCCCTGTGGAGGGTAACTCTGAAGTGCCTTTTTTTCCTCCACCTGAACCAATCCTCATGTAACCCTCTGATCTCTATTAAGGTAGCGTGACTCGGGTTGAGAATGACCACAGTCACCAATTCTTGTCACATGTCTATGCCTGTATGTCTGATCTCAGAATTGTGTGTACTGAGACTCTAATTTCCCTCTGGGATTAATAAAGTGTCTTTGAATTTGAATTGAACAGAATTTGTGGGGACAAAGTCACCGAATCTCACGCCGGTCAGATAAAATGAGTAATTTTATTTGGAGAAAATGCTCCTAAAATGGTCACATTGGACGGGAACACAACCGGAGGGTTAAGTCGATTTAACAAATCTCCTTTCTGTGTTTCCATCTGCAGCGTTCCGTGTCCGAATGGAAGGAAGGATGGAAATCTGTCAACAAGGAGGATTTGGTAAACATCCTATTGGGAGATTAACGAGGAGAGAGCCTGTTCTTGTGTGTGTGTGTGTGTGTGTGTGAGAGAGAGAGAGAGAGAGAGAGAGAGAGAGAGAGAGAGAGAGAGAGAGAGAGAGAGAGAGAGAGAGAGAGAGAGAGAGAGAGAGAGAGAGAGAGAGAGAGAGAGAGAGAGAGAGAGAGAGAGAGAGAGAGAGAGAACAGGTGAGGGAGGGAGGGTGAGAAAGAGGACTTCCCAGAGTGTAGCAGATGGAGGGGGTGAGGAGCCTGGTGGAAGTGTTTTTCATACGAACCAGTGACAAGGTGGCGAGCAGTGGCCCCCGGATAGCAGAGATCACAGGCTGCACAGGAGACCGAGAAAGGAAGGGGGAAGAGGAGGAGCAGGAGGAGGAGAGAGGAGCACCGCGAACAGCCGCTGCTGGAACCACGGCAACACACCAAGCTGGGAGGAAAGGAAAAGCAGCGAAGCACCAGAGGAAACTATTCCAGACGGAGAAGGTTTAGCCTCACTGACAGGTACAACAGAAGCATATGTTGCAGGTAGAATCAGTTCAGGCACCAGATCTGACAGGAAGCTTTAATTAGAGCTGAGCTTAATCCAAAGGAATGGATTAAAATGTAGATTTCCTGCAACTGAAATGAAAAACGAAACACCTTTTTTAAGGTCTCGAGGTCACAAAAGTCAATGGTGGCATCGCCCTCGTTTCCTCGGGTTTTAGATGTTCAGGTTGTAGCTTTTCAGCGTCACATCTACTTGAAAATCTGATTTTTCCAGAATCTCACTTTTCCTTTTTCAGTGTAGAAATGTTCTTTTATGCATGCATTAACATTCAGAGGAACCGTGCATTGCTTGATAATATCATGTTATAGCAGCTAATTCTAGGTAAAGTCATCTTTAGTGAACAGATATTTGTAGTCGTAGTCTGGTTGTGTATAGATAGTATTAATATAGTAAAAATGAGCTAGGATTACAGAAAACAGCTAATTTATGCAGATTTTTGGAATTTAAGCAACAATTACAATAAGCTGAACATGATGTCCCAAGTGTTGCAAGATCAGAGGCGTTCCGTCACGTCCATCAGATTTATTTAAGTCGTGCTACGGAGGTTAGTCCACTCACCGTCCAGATTAAGGGACTACACATGTCCTCCATCCCAGCACGTTGCCTCGGCCCCTGCTAATTAGGATCACCCTGTCTGGGTCAACAGAGCTGCTAATGTGGCTTCGCCCCAGATAACAGAGTCTTCGTCTTCGTCTTCGTCTTCCTCCGCTTATCCGGGTCCGGGTCGCGGGGGCAGCATCCCAATTAGGGAGCTCCAGGCCGTCCTCTCCCCGGCCTTGTCCACCAGCTCCTCCGGCAGGACCCCAAGGCGTTCCCGGACCAGATTGGAGATGTAACCTTTCCAACGTGTCCTGGGTCGACCCGGGGGCCTTCTGCCGGCAGGACATGCCCGAAACACCTCCCCGGGGAGGCGTCCAGGAGGCATCCTGACCAGATGCCCAAACCACCTCAACTGGCTCCTTTCGATCCGGAGGAGCAGCGGTTCTACTCCGAGTCCCTCCCGAATGTCCGAGCTCCTCACCCTATCTCTAAGGCTGAGCCCGGCCACCCTACGGAGGAAACTCATTTCGGCCGCTTGTATCCGCGATCTTGTTCTTTCGGTCATTACCCAAAGCTCATGACCATAGGTGAGGATTGGGACGTAGATCGACCGGTAAATCGAGAGCCTGGCTTTCTGGCTCAGCTCCCTCTTCCCCACGACAGATCGGCTCAGCGTCCGCATCACTGCAGACGCCAAACCAATCCGCCTGTCGATCTCCCGATCCCTCCTACCCTCACTCGTGAACAAGACCCCGAGATACTTAAACTCCTCCACTTGAGGTAGGACCTCTCCCCCGACCCGGAGGTGGCAGGCCACCCTTTTCCGGTCGAGAACCATGGTCTCAGATTTGGAGGTGCTGATCCTCATCCCAGCCGCTTCACATTCGGCCGCGAACCTACCCAGCAAGAGCTGAAGGTCAGAGCTGGATGAAGCTAGGAGGACCACATCATCCGCAAAAAGCAGAGACGAGATTCTCCTGCCACCAAACTCGACACACTCCACACCACGGCTGCGTCTAGAAATTCTGTCCATAAAAGTGATGAACAGAACCGGTGACAAAGGGCAGCCCTGGCGGAGTCCAACCCTCACTGGGAACAGGTCCGACTTACTACCGGCTATGCAGACCAAACTCACGCTCCTCTGGTAAAGGGACTGAATGGCCCTTAACAGAAAGCCACCCACCCCATACTCCTGGAGCGTCCCCCACAGGGTGCCCCTGGGGACACGGTCATAAGCCTTCTCCAAATCCACAAAGCACATGTGGATTGGTTGGGCAAACTCCCATGCCCCCTCCATCACCCTTGCAAGGGTATAGAGCTGGTCCACAGTTCCACGGCCAGGACGAAAACCACATTGCTCCTCCTCTATCTGAGATTCAACTATCGATCGGACCCTCCTCTCCAGTACCTTGGCGTAGACCTTTCCAGGGAGGCTGAGGAGTGTGATCCCCCTATAGTTGGAACACACCCTCAGGTCACCCTTCTTAAAGATGGGGACCACCACCCCGGTCTGCCACTCCCTAGGAACTGCCCCCGATGACCACGCAATGTTGTAGAGACGTGTCAACCATGACAGCCCTACAACATCCATAGCCTTGAGATACCCAGGACGAACCTCATCCGCCCCCGGGGCTCCGCCGCTGTGTAGTTGTTTGACTACCTCAGCAACTTCTGCCCCCGAGATCGGACAGTCCATCCCCAGGCCTCCCAGCTCTGGTTCCTCCTCGGAATGCGCATTGGTGGGATTGAGGAGCTCCTCAAAGTATTCCTTCCACCGTCCGACTATAGCCTCAGTTGACGTCAGCAGCTCCCCATCCCCACTGTAAACAGTGTGAGCGAGTTGCTGCCTTCCTCTCCTGAGGCGCCGGACAGTTTGCCAGAACCTCTTTGGAGCCGATCGATAGTCTTTCTCCATGGCCTCACCAAACTCCTCCCACGCCCGAGATTTTGCCTCGGCAACTGCCACTGCTGCACCCCGCTTGGCTATCCGGTACCTGTCTGCTGCCTCCGGAGACCCACAGACCAGCCACGCCCTGTAGGCCTCCTTCTTCAGCCTGACGGCTCCCCGAACCTCTGGTGTCCACCAGCGGGTACGGGGGTTGCCACCACGACTGGCACCGGCCACCTTACGACCACAGCTAGCAACAGCCGCCTCGACAATCGCAGAGTGGAACAAGGCCCACTCGGACTCAATGTCCCCCACTGCTCTCGGGACGTGGTCAAAGCTCTGCCGGAGGTGGGAGTTGAAGACCGTCTTGACAGGTTCTTCTGCCAGGCGTTCCCAGCAGACCCTCACTATGCGTTTGGGTCTGCCAGGTCTACGCGGCATGTTCCCTTGCCATCTGATCCAACTCACCACCAGGTGGCGATCAGTTGACAGCTCCGCCCCTCTCTTCACTCGGGTGTCCAAAACATACGGCCGCAGGTCAGATGATACGACTACAAAATCTATCATCGACCTGTGACCTAGGCTGCCCTGGTACCAAGTGTACCGGTGGGCATCCTTATGTTTGAACATGGTGTTCGTTATGGCCAAACTGCGGCTTGCACAGAAGTCCAATAACAAAACACCGCTCGAGTTCAGATTAGGTGGGCCGTTCCTCCCAATCACACCCCTCCAGGTCAAGCTGTCATTGCCCACGTGAGCATTGAAGTCCCCCAGCAGGACAATGGAGTCCCCTGATGGAGCACTATCTAGCACTCGTCCCAGGGACTCCAAAAAGGGTGGGTACTCTGAACTGATATTTGGCCCATAAGCACAAACAACAGTCAGGACCCGTTCCCCGACCCAAAGGCGCAAGGAAGCTACCCTCTTGTCCCCCGGGGTAAACCCCAACACACAGGCAGAGAGTCTCGGGGCTAACAAAAAGCCAACCCCAGCCCTCCGCCTCTCACCCGGAGCAACTCCAGCAAAGTAGAGTGTCCAACCCCTCTCCAGGTCTCGGGTTCCAGAGCCAATGCAATGTGTCGAGGTGAGTCCGACTATATCTAGCCGGTACCGCTCAACCTCTGCCACAAGCTCCGGCTCCTTCCCCGCCAGCGAGGTGACGTTCCATGTCCCAAAAACTAGTTTTCTTGTCCGGGGATTGGACCGCCAAGGCTCCCGCCTTGGTCTGCCACCCGATTCGCATTGCACCGGACCCTTCATGTTCCTCCTGCGGGTGGTGGGTCCACAGTTGGACGAGCCCATGTATCCGGTTCGGGCTGGGCCCGGCCGGGCCCCATGGGCGAAAGCCCGGCCACCAGGCGCTCGCTCACGGGCCCCAACCCCAGGCCTGGCTCCAGGGTGGGACCCCGGTAACCCTCCGGGCCGGGTACTCCGACTCTTCGTTTTAACCGCCATGAAAGATCCTTCGAACCGTTCTTTGTCTCACCCTTCACCTAAGACCAATTTGTCATGGGAGACCCTACCAGGGGCACTAAGTGCCCCAGACAACATAGCTCCTAGGATCATTAGGGCACTCAAACTCCTCCACCACGATAAGGTGACGGTTCAAGGCAGATAACAGAGTGTATCTAATAAAATAAAATCAAACTTTTAACAGACTGAACTCCTCTTGCCCTTTAACGTTTTGAAAACTTTTCACACAACTTTTGGAAAACCTGTTTATTTCTCACGCATTAGCAGGAGTGTTTAGAATGTGTGTTCCAAATGCAAAAGTAGAGTGACTAACATCCGAACATAAATCTCTCAGTGGGTAGCACTTTTTAACGCAACCCAAAAGAAGTTTTACCACTTCTCCTCCTACTGGTTAGCAGCTGAATTACAACAGTCATGAACAACCCTGGCATAGCCTGCTGTAGCTAGCCCTAACAATAAGCTAACGCTAACAAAAGCTAACTGATACCAAATATGCCACGAACTAAAAAGTTCCACATTTTTTGTAACTTTTTTGTAATATTTTTGTCAGGGATGTCTCGATGCTACTTTTTCACTTGCGATACGATACCGATATTGCGGCCTTCAGTATTGACCGATACCGATATGATTCCAACATGAAATCAGCAGAAATCATACATACTTTGGGCAATTTTGTAGTGTGGAATGTGTGAAAGTCTTGATCAAGTGATATTACCCAGTCGGAAAACAAGAGCCAATAACAGTAAGTACGAAAAAATGACAATTTTTTGTTTTTACCAATTGGTTGCAAAAATGTGAACCTTAACGGACTGCTTATATCGGAGATTTTTGATGCAGTTCCATATAATCCGATACACAGTTTTTGGGCCGATATCGAATTACTTCCGATATCGATATCGGAACGGGACATCCCTAATTTCTGTACACATCCGCTTTGCGCCAAAGTTCACTCTGGTTTTAGCTCTTTTCTTCACCATCAAAGATGCTACTCTCATACTTCCAAGGTCCGCCATGATGCCAACAAAAAAAAGGAAAATTCTTTTTTTACTTCTTGTGCTTTTCTGACCGTCAACAAACTGACAAAGCTAACTCCCCACCTTTATATTAGCTAGCAGTACAATAAACAACTATTTCTGTAAAGCAGGAAGTCCTCCAGCTAGCGTTCCTACCCGAAACACAAAGCGGTTTAGTTCATTTTCTGGTCAGCAGAGGGCGGCAGAGTGCTGTCCAATGTGATGTTGCTCAAGTTTAAGGCTGAAGAATCACTGAAACCAGCTGGAAAGCAACGGCTTAAAGTGTTAAAAAGGCTTTAGAGTTGCTTTAATGTGACGATGTGTATTTTGTTTACCATTCATCTCTGGAATTATTCATCAAAATGTTGAAAATTAATAAAACGATGTCCACTTGTTGAAAAATATTGGCGACTTTGCACCATACAATCATAGAAATCGGGTCTAAAGTACATAGGGCGCAGGCCTAGCTTCCTTAGGGGATGCCATATTAGTTGCCATGCTTTCTTCTGGCCAGCTTGGGGTCCTGCACCTATTGATGATGTCACAATAGATGATCGGCTGGACGTGCAACTTACAGAAGTTACGTAACCACGTTAAAAAACATTTAGGTAGTAAGAAACATGAATTTAATGACAAAACTGCCTTCCCAAACATATGTGAAAGCACAGAATAGAAAAAGAGATGCAATATATTTTGGCCGAATGGCTGGCTCGCCATAATGTTGTGATTTGAAGTTTGTATATTTATATACTGTAATTAGATAATTTAATTACCCGATTTTGTATATTTATACAATCTAAGTAATCAATCAGAAGTGGTTGTTTTTATCATCAGGGAGTTTACTTAAACACTTTGTATTGACTGAAAGACAAGAAGAGAGAGAGTTGGGATTGTTTAAGAATCTTTAATTTCTATAATTATAAATTCTTACAATCTACCAGGACTATCTCAATGATGAATGCATATGGATGTAGATGTTTCGTGTTGGTGTGTGTGTGTGTTTTGTTCAGAATCTCTAGGCTGAGTAGCGGATCTAGTTGTTATGACTAGGCTACCACGAGGCTTCGATTGCTGATGACATGAGCCGCCATTTTGTGCCATGACCACGTACCGTAGGGAGTCTCCCGTGTAGATCAGGAATTGCAGGTCCTCGGACCTTCATGGGTACTGGAGCTGGTGGAAACAGCGGTCGCAGCACACAACGCCCGTCTGTTGATAACTCCGGTCGTAGTCGGCAGGCGTCAGCAAGTTCACCCTTATTTTGAAGGAAAGTCGTCTCGTTGGTACAAACGACGCAAAATCTCCAGCTTGACAGATTTCAGCTCAAAGTAGGAAGTACATCTGGCCAGTCTGCACTTCTTAATGATGACGATGGAAATCCTTAGGAACTCGGATGTCCTGGAGCTGAGTTTAATACGTAACTGCTTAAAGTGGAACTTAACGTGGAACTGCACTTAAAATGGCGTTGCCTTCTTTGTATATCTCCCAGTTGTTTAAGAATCTTAGTAAACCGGATTGGACTACTTTCATAAACAAACCAGATTCTGCCCTACCACAGACGAAAGTTCTGATTGGTTGAAAACAATGTGTCATGCGTTTCCATGGGAATGCATATCAGTGTGTCTGGGGCAGCCCTGTTTACTCATTTAAACACATAACTCATGACATCTTTATTTCACAGATCATTCACCTGATTATTAATGATCAACAAATGCTTTGATTAGCTTATCACAAATAAAGTACTTTGATTAATCAATGAAAAGCGTTCTTCTGTTCTTCTGTCTCTTCTCCTGGAATGTAATCATACTGAACCAAGCGTCCGACCTTGGCGGTGTTACTGTGTGAAGGGGCAGCTGTTAAGGGCAGACCATTATAAACTTCCTAACGCTACATGTAGTATGATGATGTCATCAGCAGGCGCAGGACCCTGAGCAGGTCCAGAAACTACATCTCCAGAAAACTACAATCAGCATTGCATTCTCTCGATGGAATTAACTGAAGGACCATCAAAGTCTGAGGAGTCACATCGAGATTGCATGCTTTCTGCTCCACAGGCAACAACGCTTACCATAATGTGTTTTTAAACTAGCGACAGTTCCGGCGATATGGTGTAAAACTACTGAAATGTACGCACTGCCCCCAGTGGCAGGAAACTACACACTGCTACTTTAATTGTTCACGTGGTGGGTCGTGCTCAAACCAGTTATTGCAGTGGACCTTTAGGGAACGTTTTGGTTCCTTTTTTCTCCACTTTTCACGTCAGGATTTACTGATGTCTCCATTAAACCTCTTTGTGTCTGTAGAAATGGGCGTGTCATCTCCACCACTGCCGATAATTTGCATATATCTGGCAGCTGCCCTGATTGGTAAGGCTCACTCTGAGGGGGTGTGCCTTCACGACGGCACGCACAAGGCCATGCCCAGCCCTGAGCTGCACCTGTCGGAGTGTGGTCTGTACGCTGACAGTAAGTGCTTGGCTTCAGCAGCTTTGTGTTCAGTCGAGTTATTGGTAAACACTTCAAAGGTTGAGATCACCTAAAGGTTAAAGGTTAAGATGTTGTCCTGATGTTGCTGCTGCAGACAGCTGCTGCACTGAAGACAACATCCAGGACATCAACTACTTTCCTTCTGCCAGCAATAAGAATGAGCCCTGGGACAAATGTGGGGCTCTGAGTCCTGAGTAAGTCTCTATCTATATCTATCTATCTATCTATCTATCTATCTATCTATCTATCTATCTATCTATCTATCTATCTATCTATCTATCTATCTATCTAGCTAGCTAGCTAGCTAGCTATGTATCTAGCTATCTATGTATCTATGTATCTATCTATCAACTCTCACACAAGTAAACTCAACATTTGAACGGCTGTCTACATCGGTGACCTTTGAGGACTTCTTGTCCATGTTTACTCCACTTTGCTCATTAGTTCTTCTCCAAGTGAGGGCTACTTGGGGTTGGGATGTCCTCTCTGCTTCATGGTGTGTCTGATTCCATCTGTGTCCCACAGGTGTGAGGGCTACCTGAAGCGAGTGTCGTGTTTTTACCGCTGCTCCCCCGATGCGTCCCGTTGGCCTCATCCCCACCGCCGCTCCTACATCCAGGCGGTGCCGCTCTGCCACAGCTTCTGCCGTGATTGGTGAGGCTGCCAAACATACCACCACACCAATCTAAATCACAGCCAGTATCCTTCCCTGTTCACTTTTAAGACCATCAAGGGACAGATTACTGTCTTCTACAGCAAAGGTTTTCTGTGCCAAGACAAAGTGCACCATGAAAAATAAGAAGTGTGTGACACAGGCAAGACAGTGAACATGAATTCAGGGGTTTCTTGTAAAGAGGTTGGATTTAGGAACACCAATAGAGTATTTTATTTCACAGGTGTTATGAAGAGCCGAGATATCTCTAAAAAATGTGTATGTCCTCATGAATGGTATGGTTAACCCTAACTCTCACAGGGATGAATACAATTTTATACATCCATGGAAGGGCTGGGCGATATATCAATATGTTTAAAATATCAATATAATAAACACATCGATATATCGATATGTTCAAAATATCGATATATCGATATTAGGACCATATCGATATGACATCAAACAAGATTACTCTGGATCATTTATATCAATATAAATACATAACCAGTGTATAAGGCTGGGCAATAAATCGAACATGTATCGTGATCGAAATTTCTGACTGTTATCGAGGTCATTTTTCTCATGTCAATAAATTTGATAACTAAAAATTGTGAAAGATGTGTGTAGGTTGGCAACGTTTGTGTCCCTTTAAGAAGCTGTACCACCTTGAGTCATGTTATTATGTGACTCAACATAAATCATGTGACAGCCCCATCTAGAGGACAACATTTGTTTCTGCGCATACCTGTAGTTATCGTCCATTTATCATTATCGAGGTGAAATCATCACCATATCGTGATTTTACACCATATTGCCCGGCGGTACCAGTGTATTTCTAGAATTACCAAGTGCAGCTATCACTATCCGCTAGCTTGCTCCATCTCATTATGTGTATTCTCACAGGCCTGCTTGATTAGGACACCTTTGGGCCAACGTTCTGCCCTGTTCGTTGCATTTGACTTTGCGGTTTTGAATTATTTGTGGACGTTTGTTCAGGTTTTAGCGAGCAGTTTCACCCTGGCTGCTGATGGAGGTTTGTTTATCCTGCTTGTGTGGAGAGACGGGTCAAACCCTTCCCTCGTGTAATCAGGAAACAGGTATGGAGATTTGCTGATTGATCTGATGAATTTATGTAAACAATTTCTCAAGACAGCTTGAAGGGAATTGAACATTTAACAGGAGGAAGAACATTGAGATATATATCGTTTATTCAGCTAAAAGATACGGAGATAAGCTTTGGTCCGTGTGGCCCAGCCGTAATCCAAGCAAAAGAACGTCTTGAATAAATGAACTTTTTGAAATGTTTCATTTCTGATCTTCATCCGTGTGCAGGTTAATTTTTCAACAGCAAATTTCACGACAAATTACATGATGTCTAACTTGTCCTGAAGCAAATGCTACGCATTGGCAATATTTTCCTTCTTCACTTTCTTAATGCGATGCAACTTTTGTCTGACTGCGTGTTTGTCAAAGACGGGATAAAGACGAGTGACTCGTCATGGGTTTGGTCATACGATGTTATGTGTGTACATAACGACACATTATTTAAAAAATGCTATTAATTATACAGAACGTTACTGAGACAGTTACAATGAAACAAGATTAGAAATATAATAGATACAAAATGACAATGGGATACACATGATGCAACCTAATAAAATAGGATTCAATGCAATATGATGGGATTTATGACATAAGGAAAAACTATATGAAATTATATTTAAAACATTTTTTCTTCATTTAATGAGACTTTGTGTATGGATTGAAGATTATTTTGACATGGAGAGCAATTTAATTAAAGCATTATTTATAAGTGTGTGTTTTGTTGAGTCACTCGGGGTAGGCTCTAATGAGCATTAGCTTCTTCCTACTCCTTTTCAAGCAGAACATGAAAGAAGTTTTTGATTATATTTTGCAGACTTGAGAGTTATGTCTGTTTTCTTTATTTTCTGGTAGGTTTTGTCTGTAATTTTTTTTTCTATTTTTAATATTTGAATAAAAATCAAATCAAACACAACATAATACAAAATTAAATGATGCAATATAGAGCAATATGATGTAAAGCAACACAATGCAATTCAGTAATGGATTGTTCAGCCCCTTGGGCTTCCATTGAGGTTCTGGAAGGTGCTATACAAATAAAATTTAATTGATTGATTAATCGATTAATTGATACAATAAAATAGCATACATCAGGGTACAACTGGATAAGACAAGATACCATAGAATACAAGAACTGAATTGGATAGTATGATACAACAGAGACATTTTCCAACACTTGTTCCTTTTCTTTGGACTTTGAATGTTGGTATTAACCCTCCCACTGTCCTAATGGGTGTGACTCTGCAAGGAAAGTAGACTATTGAGCAGGGTTGATGGTTTATCCCTTGGATCCATGTGGCAGGGGTGAGGAGTGAGCACCACCTCACCCCTGCCTCGTGGACCTCATGGGATAAACCACCAGCCCTGCTCAGTGGACAACTTTCCTCGCGGGGTCACCCATAAAAACAGTGGGAGGGTTATGGTACATTAAAATTCACCTTCATTAAGTAATGCTAGGTATTTTGTAATACTCTATAGCAGCGGTTCTCAGTCCTGGTCCTGGAGCGCTGGTATCCAGCATGTTTTTGTGGTTTCTCTGCTCCAACACACTTGATTCAGTGGTTGAAACACCTGTTCAGCAGCTCATCCGGCTCTGCAGAAGCCTGTTAATCACCTGCTAATTAAAATCAAGTCTGTTGAAGCAGGGAAACAACTAAAACATGCGGGATGCTGGCTCTCCAGGACCATGATTGAGAACTACTGCTCTATAGCCTCGTTCACAAATAATTCTGCATGAATGAGTGGTCTTTAGGCTGCCCAGCCTGTTCATGATCCAGTTTGTGCCGACCACAGCCCACGCGGGGCGAGCTTTCATAAATGAAAAGGTGTGAGAGATGACTCCCTGTCCATTCCTGCGATAACATAGGTGATAATCCTCATCGCTGTGACAGCTTTAGCACCAGCAGAAGCTCCTTTCCTTACAGAGGAGTTGGCGACACTGGATTGGCTGGATTCGGCGAACTGACCAGAAGCACTTCAGCTGAAGTGGAGCTATGACTGATTCACTTTTAGTTATCTGCATGTCACGTGGCAGCTAACCAACAACCGTCCATGAGCGCGTTTACATGCAGCCAGTAACCCTTTTTAAACCCAAATATTCACAATAACCCGGTTCCGCAGGTTCATGTAAACACCGCCAAAAATCCGGATATGCTCATAACCGGGTTTTTAAAAACCCGGTTACTACACCTGGGGTATCCCTTTTCTAACCCGAATGTTTGGTCGTGTAAACGCATATCGGGATATCCCCATCGAAGCGTGTGTTCTGCGCATGCTCTGTTCGCAAGGAATCTTGGTCTTCTGAGTAGCGAGACGTCTTGTATGCGCCAGAACTCCGGAAGTAAACAACAAGTTGGGAGCAACATGGCGAGTCGCGGCACAGCACCGCACTTTTGGAGTGACGAGGAAACTAAAGCGCAAACAAACGCGGTCGCTATCTCTTCCGAACTGGGAAACATGTTGTTGTTTTCACGGATACCGGAACAAGAAGAACCGGAAATGACGGATATTGCGTCTGGACGTAGTCCATACGTCCTGACGCTACCCCAACGTCCGCATTTACATCGGGTTATGGAAGTTAGAGGTAACTCTTTCTATTTATGCTTGTAAACGGGTTATTCTGATCAACTCAGAAACCCGAATCCCGACCTTAACCCGATCATAACCCGGATATTGGCTGCATGTAAACGTAGTCCATGTCTCTGTCAGTTGTACAGATGTTGGGCTAAAACTTGGTGTTGAAGCTGAGAGTCATCCGTGTTGTAAGCAACCTGATCACGGGATTGTCTGATAACAAAACCTTTCTTCAGGTTCGACGCCTGCAGGACGGACATGACTTGTGCTCGCAACTGGGCTAGAGACCCCCGAGGACAGAACTGCACTGGCACCTGCGTTCCGTATCAGCAGGTACGCTGTGACCTCACACATCTGTCATCTATTAACATGTCAAAGTCAGTTGTATTCTCTCCTGAGGGTTAGCTTTGGAGAATCAAAACTCTCACCCAGGGTTCTGAATCTGTGTCTCGGTGTGGCTGAGTTAGCGTCGGGCTGAGTGAAGGGTTAACGGCGCGGGGGCGGAGCTGTGGGCTGGAGCGTGAAAAGGCTTGGCGCTGCTTCGTTGGGCAGAGGCCAGCTGAGTGATTTAAAAAGAAGCAGAGTGACAAAGGAGGCTGGTGTGCAGCCGAGGCCGGCAGCAAACCAACACACACACACACACACACACACACACACACACACACACCACAACAACCTTTCTGATTGTGTACATCATCATCCTCCCTTTAATTTGTCTTTCTCACAGACATCAGGTCTAATCAGGCTGCCTGCTGGTTAATAAATTATGAGAAGAAATCACAACTTAGTTGTGTGTTTGTGCGGCTTTGTTTGCCCGCGTTGGCTTGTCTTCACATGGGGCACCGCTAACGCTGCCAACAGAGTCCAACGAATTAAGCAGCCTTCAGATCAGAAGGTCTTAAGAGCTCTGAGATGCAGACAGAAGGATGTGGAAGCTGTCAGCACACGGAACAGATCACCAAGTAGATAATCCGTAAACAAGAGCTTGTTTGTGGTGCTGCCAGAAGGCTGCTGCTGCTGCACAGCGTCGCCTTAAACTCTGAACAGCCTTCATCTCTGCAGCGCTCTGGAGCAAATGTGCAGAGAAAGCAAAAGGAGATCACGATGCTGACTGCAGTGGATGACAGGCTGCACGGAGTCAGGCATTTATACACACGCTCCTGCGTGCATGCAGGCCCTTCCTGCCTCACTCCTGTTTTAGTTGTGAGTTGCATCATTTGCCAGATTAGTCTCAGCTTCGCTCCATCGCTGATGCTGTTTTTATGGGGGACGTCAGAGCTGCAGAAACCCGGCCTCTGAGCTGCAGACCTGCCCTTCCAGACATCACACGAGGGGAATAACGGCAAAGGGAGCATGTCATTTACATCATATGGCAATACCACTTGAAAATCTAGAAAATAACCTTGACAGTCAGACACTTTATTCTCACAGGGAGAGTATTAGACCAACTCAGATGTTTGGAGCTCTTCCCTGAATGTGCCTCTTTGAATAACGCCGACGGATTTTTACACCATAAACAGCTGTTTTGTAAGGTTTCCTTGAACTTTTCTCATATTTGCACAAAAGCATCTGAAACATTATTATCATTTAAGATTAGACTTTACATCACCAAAGTGGTATTTAAATTTATTTTTTCATTAAAACCGTTATGATTTTGGCTAGAGTCTGAGTTGATGATGGAGAATATTTCTTAGGGACATTTTACTTTGACTTTATTGATCGATTAGCATTCCAATATCTCAGTGAAAAACTAAATGTTAAAGACCGCAGAGACAAGCCGCATGAACCATAAAGCTTGGTTTATGCTTGACGCATTCACTTTCCGCGCGGTGATGCGGCTCGCGGATGGAACGCGCTTCACAACTCGCAGCGTTTATGGTTCATGCGGCTTGTCTCTGCGGTGATCCAATATTCTCCCAAACTGTAGGGGGCAGCATGGAGCTCTACGGCATGCATCCAACACTACACCATAGTAGAAGTAGAAATTACTGTTTACAACATGGCATTCCAGCATTTTTAACAGTGTCCTGGTCTTTTCCGACAGTGCGAGCTATTTCTCTCCAAGAATTATTAACAACATGTTGATCACGGTGATCTCTGAGAGCTGAATCATACAAATGTCTGTATTTACCAACCTCTGCCATACTACTTCTTGCCGGTCCGCCATGTTTTGCCGCGTCCGACCGTCCGCGTGGTTAGAAATTTTCCTAGGTGCGCGGTGCGGAAAGTTTGGGCCGTGGGGAGGCGCGGTGGAGGGGCGTGGTTGTTAAAATTACGCAATTTCACCGCGCGGAGCCGTGTGGACGTTGCGGACGCGTCAAGCATTAACCAAGCTTAAATGCTGCAAGTTGTGAAGCGTGTTCCATCCGCGAGCCGCATCACCAAGCGGAAAGTGAATGCGTCAAGCATAAACCAAGCTTTAGTCATATTGACTCTCTCTGAGTTTAAACAGCCTCTGAGTACTGCAGCAAAGCAAGTTATTTTGTGCTTTATACATTATCTGTGCTATTTTCAATTTCAATTAAATCACAAAATTTCAGGGTATTCTGGTTAACCTGGTAACACAAATGAGCCACTGGCAGCAGCTTAAACATTTATTTTAATCTCCACACAGCTTATATGGTTCAAACATCAAACTTTAGGCATTTTGTCTGATGGTGGAATTTTGTCAGCAGTAATCATTTTGTGTGTTTTATGTGCGATTTCAGGGGGGTGCAGTTGGTAGCAGCGTTGCAATGCAACAAGAAGGTTGTGAGTTCAACACTCGGCATGAGTGGGCTCCCTCGAGCTCCATTTTCCTCCCACAGACCAAAAACATGCGTGTCAGGTTGACTGAAGAAGGTGTGAGTGAGGGTGAAACTGGTTGTGTCCCTCTGATGGACTGGAGACCTGTCCCCCGCCTCTCGACCGCCTGATGGGAGCTAGACACCAGATCCCAGTGACCATTACTGGGACAAGTGGTTCCTGAAGATGAATAAGTGTAAAAAATGAACATCTTTTTTTGCTAAATAACAATGTAAAACACGTTTTATTTAATTTTTGCTACCAGCTAAATAGATCATTTTTGTTGAAAGAAATAATTTATTTTTCAAGTTGCTCCCAGGTGTTTGTGCCCGAGGCCTTAGGCTGGGAAGGTTAGGATTTAGGAGAACGGAGAGGACAGCACAACGTCTCCGGGAATATTTCAGTCTTATTCGTTCGGTTTCGGCGTGTCGTCTGAAGCCACTTGTGCTTGTAAGTGAATTAAGTCTGAGAACAAACCTCGCCCGCCCAAGGAAGGACAGAAGTATTTATGTGTGTGTTCTGGTGCGTACTAGTAGGCACGGAGCATATGTCTGAGCCAAATATCCTTCATTCTCCTTGTCCTTCAGCAAAGATTTTTACTACTTTTAATCTCAGAGCTGGACTGTGGTGGAGGTTAGCGACAGACGGAAAGATAAAAGAAGGAAGAGTTTGAAGGGAAGCTGAGCAAGAAAAGGTATGAGAACCCTGACGGTGACGGAGGCTAGCAGAGAGGAAGCCATTTCCCCGAGACGTACCTGTTGGTCACCTCACCTGGTCTCCAGTGTTGTAGCTTAAATTATTTATAAAGTCTTTGCTATCGACAGTCAGACAGAAAACAACAGAAACGTCACGTCTGTCTGTCCACTCTGGGCTGTGAGGCACACCTTGGACATTTCATGCGAGAGCTGAAGCTTTTTACCATCTTTGGGTTTGACTCGAGGTTAGTGCAGTCAAGGTGAGCATACGCCAGCAGCTAGCTGCTGAGCACGCGCACAAATTGTTTTCAAGGCTGGAGTTTCCAGGAAAAGGGCAAAATCAATCATTTCAGCGTGTTTATGTAATGTGGGAGGTTTCGTGTGGCTCAGGGCGAAATGCGGCATTGAGCAGGTTTCTGTTTATTTCAGCCCGAACAACGATGAAAGCTGAGGATTCAGAATGGGTGAGCAGCTCGGGTCCGGAAATTTTTCATTGAATATCCAAATCTGACACGAATTATAAATAACCTTTAAAAGATGCTGTTTGCGTACGAGTTCTCTAAGTTTGGACCAAGCCCCCCACAATGTGGCTCAAAAATTGAGGCCAACCCAGAAGTACCAAAAATTGCAGTTCCACCCTCATCCACTAGGGGCTGGTGTCAGAAGCGAGCAAATCCTCATTGACTCCCATGTTAAAAATACCATTTTCACAGCAGAAATAAACATGTTTACAGCCTGGTACCAGAACATGTTTTAGGTTTAAATGATCTAGTTTACACTCATGACAACTCTGAGGGGGGTGAATGTTTTTCTCACTCTTCTGTTTAAGTGTAATAAAAGCCTAAAATTCTGTATAATTAATGAGCATCAGACCCACGTGACCACAGAGCTAGCTCCGTGGAAAGGCCTCAGTAGAGCCTCGGTCTGGCCTGGAAACTGTTCCGGGATTTTGAGTCTCTGTGTTTGTGTATTCTTGTTTGGATATTATTTGTGCAATTGTTGGACAAAATGACTTGCTGTGGCATTAATTGCACTAATAGAGCGTCCAAGGAGTCTCCACTTCATTTTTTTCGGTAAGTAAAATTATATTTATGTATTTTAGGTCACTGCCGAGCTGAGCTTAGATTTTAACATGTGCTGTTTAACCATGAAATTTAAATGTAATAGGGTAAAACCCAGTGCATTTAACATAATGCTGCACTTTAGAAAATGGGTTGAAATATAACATGTTGGTGGAGCTGGGTTCCCACTATCGGCTTGTGGAGCTCTCGGGAGACCGATGTTTTCCACCCGGTTCTGCCCAGCGACAGCTCTGCGCATCTCAGATCGCAGCGGCGCTTGTCTGCTGTGCGGCTGCCGGCCTGTGGAGGTCTCGGAGACCTCTGTGTTCCACCCGGTTCTCCCCAGCGGTCAGCCCGGCGTATCTCTGACTCAGAAGCTCTGGTGTTGTGCACAGTTAACTCCGGTTGTAGCTAGGTTGCTACCTCCGTTAGCTTAGCTCCCACCTCCGCGTTAGCTTTGGGTTAGCTTCAGGTTAGCTTGTAGCTAGTTCGACCGGGTGTCGTCAGTTGATCCCAGCCTTACAGCCCCACCCTCAGCTCCACCTCTCTTCCCTTTTGTGGAATTGTCTGGGCTTGAGGGAACCTGTGACACGGTCAAAATGGCGGTGGTGACCACCTCCCATTTAGCCTAAAAAACGTGTTATTGGAGTCTATGGAAATGAATTGTCCAGTATATATGTCGATGTTTTGGACAGTAAAGAGTTTTATGAGAAATCTCAACGTAATCAGGATTAACCCTTTAGGAAGCGGTGGAAGACTTCCTCGTTTTGTGGATCAGAACTCCACATTTTACCCACCAATGATAACAAAGGTTTCTAGAAAAACAACTGCTTTGTTCTCCAAACTCAAATAATTATCAGTGATGATGAACAGGGGTGCCCCCAGAAATTTTTCATGGGGAGGCACACCACACTGGTCCCCGTGGGGACTCTGGGATAGTTTAGCTTGTAGCTGGGTTGCTCCTTCATTCTGTAGCATTAAAAAACTAAAGATATTAAATAAACAAAACAAAAATTTTGAAATACAAAATTTAGTTTTTGGGTTATTTTTTCAAATTTGACCATTTTAGAATTTTATAACAGTTTAATTAAGGGACCTGCTGCTGCAGCAAGCCCTTGTTGATATGCACCTGATGGGGTTTTTGACATTAATCGCCTTGATGATGATGATGATGATGATGATGATGATGATGATGATGATTGTTGTTATTCCACAGACGTTAATACGGCTAGAACGGCAGTGTGCACCCCCCACTAATTATACATCAAAAGGAGCGGCTCGGTGGTGGGAGTTCTGCTAATACTTTTCTAAGCGATCCAGTTTACCATGGCAAAATAATTAGCAAAAAACATAAAAAAGACCCATTTTTGGGCAGAATGAACAACCTTTAAAATTTTGTGTGTTGCATTTTTTATATTTGCATAAAAACTCTTTTGCCAGGTGGCACGTCCCCCTTTCAAATATCTTCACAAAATTTCTAGTTTGTCTGTTGCACTTTCAAAAAAACATGTACACAAATATTTGGATCTATATATTTTTTTATTAAAAATGGTGAGTTAGTGACCTACATATACTTTTATAGTGATTAATTAAAAACTAATTAACACACTTTATTAAAATAAATGAATTAATTGGCTTTGAGAGAAGAAGAGTGCATGGTTATGTTAAAGCAAGTGATGATTGGTCTTCCTGGGGGGGGGGGCATGCCCCCCCTCAGCCACCTCATGCGTGTGCCACTGATGATGAGGATTATCTAAGTAAAAACTCAAACTATTTCATGGGTTCTCCGTTACATCCAATAATGTGTGTGTGTGTGTGTGTGTGTGTGTGTGTGTGTGTGTGTGTGTGTGTGTGTGTGTGTGTGTGTGTGTGTGTGTGTGCCCACAGATGTACCAGCATGGCAGAGACCTCTGTGAGAGCCTGTGGGGCGACGCCTTCATGACCGTGGAGGATGACCCACAGGAGGTGGTGGAGACTGGAGATGCTGGAGCGGAGGGTCGCCCCTGCGGCTGCCTGACCCTCAGTCCCTCGGACAAGGACGTGATCGCCGCCCTCAGGGCCCAGCAGGACGATCCAGAGGAGCTGGACACCACCAAGACCGGGTTGCCTCAGTACCGAGCCCCCTGCAAGGCCAAGCTGCCTGAAGCGGCCAAGAGCAGCAGGAAGGGAAACGCTGCGCTGCGTAAGCGCTCGGTGGAGATCGAGGACGTGGAGGGGAGTGGGAGTGGATTATAGTCAATGTTTGATAGATTATTATTTAGGGATGATTGTCTAGTTGCACTGTATCTTCACCCTAAAACGAAGCTGTAACTTTTCTCCTCTAACGCCACCTCCAACACAAACATAGATACAATTACCTCCATCCCAGCTGGTGTTGTCTCAGTGATGCAGGACTTGTGGAGCCAAGAGACCTTTGCTGTTTTGGGTCACGGCGTACCTGCAGGTTCATGACGGTAGAGGCAAAATTCAAAATTCCTGAAGCTTTCTGAAGGTTTTGGACTAAGTCAGTGTTTTGCATGTGTGATGAAGTTCCGTAGACAACTTGTCGTTAGAGCTGTAGGAACGTAACGTATGCCTGAGCTTCAGCCCCATCCTGCTCTTTCATAGTCGACTCTAACCTGTGTGTTAAATCCTGTCGTGTTGCTGAGCTGTGCTGTCTAGTGGAGCCTTGGCATGGTGTAGTCATGACGACGGGTGTATTTTAGATTTTATTTCGTTTCTGACCGACGACCGGCCTGAATGTGAGGGCTCTGGTGACGCGTCTCGGACCTGAGAGAGGGTAGACCTGCAGAGGCAACGGTCTGGGTTCTGTGAGCGCTTCTTTCATATCATTTTGTGGAGAGACGAACTTCTTAGGTGTAAATGTTTTGTAAAAAATAATAATAAACAGCGAAGTGATTTGTCTAAGATTGTTGGAATTTGGTGTTTCTGTACTTTTCTTTACACTCAATAAAGACAACTGGTCTAAGCGTCACCCGGCCACGTTCATCTGTAGCTCCTAAAACCGGCAAGGGAACATCTTAAATATTCCCTAGTCACATTTGATCATCTATTTCAATCATTTTATCATTTTTGGTTAAATGTAAATAAATTATTGAAGCTCTAAAGCTGTCGGGTTGTCTTTTGGTTTTTACTCGGTTTCCTTATTTTTGGAGATTTTCTTTTTTACTTGGAATCTGTTTGTCTGTCTATAAATGCCTTCTTCTCCCCACTACTTTACTTTACTTAGTGAACAAACACATTATTCATCAGAACATCTGTATTTTTGTCTTCTTCCACCCGCTGCTGCAGGTCTGATGGTTTCCACTCAGGTCCTCCCAGAGAGATTAGAGTTTGCACCAGAACCCACATAGACTTCAGCTGCCATTATCTCTTTAGTGTGGTTACCATGGCGACCCAGTGCCACTTAAAGCAGCATAAACATTTCTTTTGGTCGTCTTATATAGTTTATGCTATAGAACTCTTTTTTTGTTGTTTAAACAAATAAAGCTGTCTTTCAGACAGGAGATGACCCGTACTGTAAGAAGGCCTTCAAAAATGTTCTAATGATCAGCGTTAGCATCTGTAGCTGTAGAGGTCATACCAGTTTCTATACAAGTTTATTTATAAAGCGACAAATCACGACCAGAGTCGTCTCAAGGACCTTCACACAGTAAACATCCCAATACAGGTCAGGTCATTAAGCCAATCAGTAACAAGTTTCCTATATAAGGAACCCAGCAGGTTGCATCGAGTCACTGACTAGTGTCAGAGTCTTTACAGCAATCCTCATACTAAGCAAACACGCAGCGACAGTGGAGAGGAAAATTCCCTTTTAACAGGAAGAAAACCTATCCATAATCCATTTTCTTCCACTTATCTGGAGTTGGGTCACATGGGCAACAGCCTAAGTCCAGAGGCCCAGACTTCCTTCTCCCCAGCCACTTGAGCCAGCTCTTTAGGGGAACCCCAAGGCGTCCCCTGGGAGACATAGTTCCTCCAACCTGTCCTGGGTGTTCCTTTAGGTCTTCAACTGGTTGGACATGCCTGGAAAACCTCACCAGGGAGGCGTCCATGGGGCAACGTAACTAGATGCCCAAGCCACCTCAAATGCCTCTTCTCAAGGTGGAGGAGCAGCGGGTCTACTCCGAGCCCCTCCCGGATGACCGAGCTTCTCACCCTATCTCTAAGGGAGAGCCCAGCCACTCTTCAGAGGAAACTCATTTTGGCCGCTTGTATCCGTGATCTCGTTCTTTCGGTCACTACCCAAAGCTCGTGATCATAGGTGAGGGTAGGAACGTAGATCCACCGGTAAATCGAGAGCTTCGCCTTCTGACTCAGCTCTCTCTTCACCACGACAGACCAGTACAACGCCCGCATCACTGCAGATGCAGCACCAATCCACCTATCGATCTCACGCTCCAGTTTTCCCTCACTGGTGAACAAGACCCAGAGATACTTCAACTCCTCCGCTTGCGGCAGGACCTCGTCCCTGACCCAGAGGAGGCTTTCTATGATTCAAGACCATGGTCTCAGATTGGGAGGAGCTGATTTTCATCCCAGCTGCTTCACACTTGGCTACGAACTGCTCCAGCAAAAGCTGGAGGTCATGTTCTGATGAAGCCAACAGGACCACATCATCTGCAAAAAGCAGAGACTTGATCCTCAGGCCAGTTCAACAGATGCCCTCAACACCTTGGCTGCACCTAGAAATCCTGTCCATAAAGGTCATGAACAGAATCGGTGACAAAGGTCAGCCTTGGCGGAGTCCAACTCTCATTGGGAACGAGCCCGACTTACTGCCGGCAACGCAGACCAAGCTCTGACACCGGTCATACAGGGACCTGACAGCCCCTATCAGAGGGCCTGGTACCCCATACTCCCGGAGTACCCCCCACAGGGCCCCCCGGGGGACGCGGTCACACACTCTGGGCGGATCTCGTCCACCCCCGGGGCCTTGTCACCGTGGAGCTTTTTGACCACCTCAGTGACCTCAGTACCAGAGATCGAAGAGCCCTACCCAAAGTCCCCAGACTCTGCTTCCTCACTGGAAGACGTGCTGGTGGGATTGAGGAGGTCTTTGAAGTACTCCGCCCACCGATCCACAAAGTCCTGAGTAGAGGTCACCAGCACAACTTCCCCACTATAAACAGTGTTGGTAGTGCGCTGCTTTCCCCTCCTGAGGTGCCGGAAGTATCTCCTGGAAGCCGTGCGGAGGTCTTGCTCCATGGTCTCACCGGACTCCTCCCACACCCGGGTTTTTGCCCCCACGCCCACCTGAGCCACATTCTGCTTGGACTGCCGGTACCCATCAGCTGCCTCTGGAGCCCCACAGGCCAAAAAGACCTGGTAGGACTCTTTCTTCAGCTTGACGGCATCCATAACTGCTGGTGTCCACCAGCGGGTTCGGGGGTTGTCGGGTGTTCATTATTTCTCTTGCCTTCCAAAAATGTCGCTGAGCCTTCTGGTCAAGCTGCAAGCGAGCTACAGTAGCCCGACTTGCACCAAATAAGACAGAGTTAGTAGTCAAGACGTGAGGTGATGACGGCATGAGCAACAGTCAGATAGGATTCAAACCAGCCTAGCGCGCTTCCTTTGATCCCTACAGCCAACGTGTTCCAATCTGGTGCTGGACTCCAACAGACAGGTAGCCTCTATGCTGCAGAGTCTTTATTTAAAACAATCTAATGTCCAGAAAGGGTCATTTTTCATCTACAGTTTGACCTCTTCAGTGTCCGGTCACATAGAGACATCATTCTGACTCTGTGTGCCCCGTCTAATATTCCAAGCTGCAAGAAAGATCCTGCAAGTGCACGTTGAGATCCCGGGATCACGACGTTGTCAGCATGCTCCCTTCCCAAGGGTCTTCTCTGCCAAACCGCTGCTATCTGGTCTTTGCTTCACTGAATAAAGAACGAACTTTTATAATAAGGAACCGTTGTAAATAATGAAGTGTTAAAATGATGGTTAAATGAAATGCTTAAATAATCATATAATGAATGGACAGGGTGTTAAATGAGATGTTTGAAATGAAACCGAGGAGGTCAAACTGTCGATGAAAAATGACCCTTTCTGGACATCACAACATCATCAGGGACCTGAAAGTATTCTATTAAAGGGCTTTCTTCTCTTGTAGGCTGTTTGCCCGTCAACAATATCAGCAGTAGCCAGTCATTAAAAATAAATAAAGCTTCTGCCGCTGCACTCCAGCCAGTGTTTTATCCATTTTAATGTTTACAAGTTATGCACAGTGGTCTTTACTGTGTAGAGCTTCTTCTATAGGTGTGTGTCAGAGCAAAAGGATCAGTAAATTATTCATGTTAAACTTCACGAACCCTCAATAGCCTGATCAGAAGATAACTGTTAGTTGAAACTCTATATTTGCATCATTTCTCATCAGTACAGGTGATTTTTTTTGTTCTTTTGCAAACCTGCCTTAAAAGCCTGCTGCTGTGAACTCCTTGTGTTTTAAACATCAGACCTCCTGCAGAGCCGAGCAGCGCTCCGAGTCTCATCCCACTGACTCAGAAACCTCAAAGCTCTGGAAATAGAACTGACGCACCGCAGATCATCAGAAAAACTCTTTTAGTCCAAAAACTGGAGCGTTCTTCTTGCATCGCTGTGACTAAAAACTCATTTAATCAAACACACCCTGTTCTGGATCAAGCACGCCTGTGCTGAGGGTTGCAGAGGCCAAAAAGCAGCTTTAACAGGGTTTTAAAAATAACTTCCCACTGAGTGTGAAAACCTAATTTGCAAATACATCATGACAAGTGCCCCCCCCCCCCCCCACACACACACACACACACACACACACCCAGACAGCTGTCAGTCAGTCCTCCGTCGCTTTGGGGGAGAGTCCAGGTGTTGGCGTGTTGACGACCGGACTTTAGGACTGTGGTCACAGCCGTCCACCACTGGTTGTGATTTTTCGTGTTATGATGCTGAATCAATATTTAAAAGCAGTGTATTGATTTTTATAGAAATTTTACATGTTAACAGTTACTACATTTCGTTTGTGTGGTGCAG